TTTTAAAATAAATCTAAATGCTTTATTTCGTAGGTTTTGTAGTTTTTGCATTTCATTATTATTTTTATCTATTTTGCGTTTATAATGACTTCATTATAACACCGCTTTCGGTGCTGAAATGAGATACCCAACCCAAATAATATTTTGCATATTGGTAATAATATTTTTATGATTTTTCTAGTACTTACGAGACTTTTCTGGCAATAAATTTTAAACACCAAAGAAAATCTTTTTTTCTTCTTTAACATTAACAGCCGCTTATTGTAAATAAGTAAATTAAGGACGGCATGGCGAATCGATTTTGACATTAACTGTGATACCAACTATCTAAAGTAAAATTTGACCAAATTAAATTTAAGGTATAAAATGACGTCCTATGACATTAGTTCTTTAATATACTATTATTGAGATTTTTGTATTTACAGTATCAAAAGCTTAAAGTCTAAGAAAACAAAAAAAAAATAATTTTACATGAAATAAATTTCTTGTTTCGCAAAGATAAATCATTTTTAACTAAGGAATATCCGTGTGTTATTTATTAAAGAAAATCAATTTGTTTTGCGCGTAAGGTGGGATTTACACGGTGAATAATGCGTTTTATGTTGTGCCTTTGTGCCGTTTAAAAAAAACAGCTTGCCATGCAATATCCGCGTTAAAGCCCCGTGTTGGTATTACGATGATTTTTTTTATTATATATATATCGATGAAAATCTCTTGTCATCTTGGATGGCTTTTTCCACCCGTTATATTCCATACGTTTCGATCATATATTTCTCTAAGCATTAAGAATGACAACGTTCGGTCATGTGAAAATTTCCCAGCTGCCTTATTCTTGCTTTGCCTTCGCTTATAACAGACGCGCATTTTTAGCGAGAAGAAAAAAAAAAGGAAAACCTTTCGATATTACTAGCAAATCTCTCACACTATCACTCACCAAACGATTTTAATATACCTACATAAAATATTGATCAAAATTTTTTTGTTTTAAACGCTCGGACAAGTCGATTGGTATTTTTAGCTGCGCATTTTTTTAAAACAAAATATTTTTGTACAGGGTGTGTCATGTAGCAGTGACCAATACCAACTTTCTTACTTTAAATGCAACACCCTGTAGACTAAAGCGCCTTAAAGTCATAGCTCGTCAATGTAGGAGTCGATAATAATATATTATGTATCAAGTTTGATAAACGCTATTTTATACAGGAATTTAATTTAGGCACGAGCGAGCTTGCGAGCGAGTGCTTAAATTAATGAGTGTATAGAAAAGTTTATAAACGAGGTGCATACTATACTTTTTTTACGAAAAATACTTATTATTATTTTAAAATGATTTAAATCAAAAATTTGTATAGAGCGCCATCTATGAAACAATAGGGGAATCTGTGTGTCACCGTCAAATGTCAAATTTTTATATTTTATAAACAAAGATTATAAAGGTTATAAATCGAAATGTATTTCTTAAAAATTGACAGTTTTTCACAGTGAAAGTAAAGAAAATGTTTTATGCACTTTACAGTGGAGTCCGTGCCCGAATTTAAGTTATAGTTTACTGCCGGCGAAATTAAAAGGTCAGTACAATGTTCATATAAACTTTTCAAATATTGGCGTTGAAAAACTATTTAATACTTTTGTATTTTTGTATTGAGATAATAAAATAATTTTCACATTTAGTATTAAAGGCACTTTATTTTAACGATTGACGATATGACATTTGACAACTGTCAACTAACTTAAAACTAACTTCAGCCCGTGACTAAAGCGTCATAAAGCCACAACTTGTCAAGGTGTATTTAAAAGGTCACTTAGTATCATGGAAACATGTACGATAAAGGGAGTTTTAAAGGTGGGAGTAGAAAAAATAATTTTCATATTTAGTATAATCGGTATAGTATGCAACTCGCTTATAAACTTTTCTAGGCACGCATTTAATTAAGCACTCGCTCGTGCCCAAATTAAATTCGTGACTAAAATGGCGTTTATCAAACTTGATACATAATATACCATTATTTGACGGTGAAATAAAGACTTGGTGTAATAAAGTATAAACAGAAATTGTAGCAATAAAAGATTAAAGGAAATGATGGGAGGTAGTTAAAAGTTGAGAAAAAAGAGAGGGAACTTGAAGGAAATGAATGTATAAATATTGTGGAAATCGGAGATCCTTACGCACCCATTTATCTAGATAAGAAGAAAATCCACTGTTACGCATTAATAGTCGCAGTATCTGAAACAACATTACATCTCACTTAGAAAGAAGGAAGTGGCATTTGGAACAGGATCGCGATTCAGCCCTTAAGCTCTTTTTTCCGGCTACTACCGATTGGAATGTCGTTATAGAACACGATATACACCCATCACCGATGCGCGGCATAGATTTTTTTAGCTTATTTACATTTTAGAATTTATTGCTAATCCCTTAATTAGGTTGCACACTTTTTCGTCGAAAGCTTTTCCTAATCATCCACTTTGAATGGAAGGTTATAATTTTTGATCGCGCTGCTTTTGTTTTCTTCGGCAAGCTTCTCAAGATCATGTTAACATTTGAATTTTGATGGATGTAGAAGATATGTTGGTTTGACCTGCTCCAGTAAGTAAAGTGAAGGGAGAAATGTGGATGAAGGAAAGAAAAAGGCAGTCTTACTTCTGGGTGGGTAGGGTATAAATTAAACGAGAGCTTTTCCACTTGATAGATGTGTTCGATAAAGTTTTTCAGACTTCGAAAATTAAGATATTTGCTCTGTATAATTAGAAATGAAGCTTTGTTTTCCGCTGGTACTTTAATTAAGGACTTTTAACAAATGCCAGGTGCCTGCTGTTCGCACCTAAAGAAAATTAAAAATAATTTTATGTGAATTTAAAACAGAAACTTCTCAAGACGTTTCCTTCGATTTTTTTGCTCCAGGGGCATTTAATGATAAATTGCTTGATAGCGAGAGCAAACTTCAGGCATATTAAAGGAGGGTTGGCCATTGGTGCCCTCCAAAGCACTTCACACATGCTTTAATGCACTTAGTAGTCCACACTTTTCATATTGCAACACCAATCGATAACATATTGCATCCTAAACTTAGCTAACGCCATTTGCCACACATGCCGCCACCGTACAGGGAGCTCAAACTTTTGAATACAAATGTTTTTTCCACTAAATTCTAGTTAATTGAAACTAAATATTGCCAGTTTGTTTTCGCATATTGATTTCGGTTAAGGAAACAAAAGAAAATGGGAAAAGACTAGCCAAAGGGCATTTGCGATGGGTAGTGGCCATTGTCCATTTGATAGATTAAGACGACGCGACGAAGGAAAGAATTGGGGATGGCAAACAAAATAAAGCGCGGCGTGTGTACACATTTTATGGAGAAACTTTTTGCTAAACAAATTTACCTTAAGAGATTCTTTTAAGACCACACCAGATTTTTATTTTTTAAATAATACTAAGTTGTTGATTTCGATCCACATCTACATTAGAAAAAGAAAAAAAGTTATGTCCAGAATGGGGACGATGAGGAAGTTGAAGATGATGAGACAGATGAACATGATGAGACAGATGAAAATAATGAGACAGACAAATAAAAAAGACAGATGCAGATGATGCAAATGAACCTGAAGTTGATTTTAATTAAACAGAAGTCCAATCAGAAAATTGTATTGCATCAGATTTAGATATCGTTCTTAATATCAAAAGTGAAGTAAAAATTTCTATGAACTATGTAGTCTTGACGTTGTTTACGTTGCACAGAGGCCGATACCGTGAAAGACCAAATTGAATTTTCGGGCTGACCGGCCTGTTTGGATTCCGGGACGGTTGTTTAGTTTGCCGGAACAAAGAAAACAGCCATGTGTTTATTCTGCTTGAAATAGCAAGCCACTCCCCCCTGACACACACAGTGTGTTATATCTACCTAACCGCCACCGATGGCCAAGCTCTTCTCTAACCAATTTATCTATTGCCATTGATGCAGGACGAGACTTAATTTGCGTAACACTTTTAAAAGGGATTATCAATCTTATCTGGGCGAAATACGCGTTAAAAGTGGGGTGTTGTTCGTTTCGTCGAAACCGCTTGGTGTGCACATTATCAATAATTAATAATTGTAGAGATTTTTTCGGTAAATTGCCCTCATTCGTCTTTGCGCGCAATTCTCAAAGAGACTGCCGCTCGCTCTGTCCCACTTCATATTGGAGACATCTGGCTCAAACTCTTTCAATTAAGATGAAAAATCCGCACGCATTAGTACAGCGGAGGGAGAGAGAGGGGTGGATCGGGCTTTAAAAAGAATAAGGGGTGAACGGGGTTACCGAGGAAGGGGGTGGTTATAAAGTAGGGGGGCGCTAGACAGCAGCCCGCAGCTTCTGATTAGAAAGGACAGCTCTCTGTCTCTGATCCCGAGTCCGCAGATCACCAAGCCGCCCCTCGCCCCCGCCGCGGCCGCTGTTTTAAACACCCCCTTTTGTCGCGCATTTACACCAGACAATTCGCGATCTTTAATATTCTTCGATTATCGACCGAATTTTATTGTGCATATTTCCTTCAATAAAAGTGTTCACGAAATTGAAAATAGCAAAATAAAGTGCACTCTTTTCTTAAAATTTGGAGTTTCTCAGTATCCAAAGCAGGATGAATTTTCTTTTCAAACCATCCAGGTGGAATCCAGATTTGAGATTAAAAAACGTAAAAGCAGTTTTCTAGAAGTTAGTTAAAGGTGCAAGTACATTTCAAACTGCTCTGGATACTGAGAAACCTCAAAAATTAGAAGACAATACTTGAGAAACGACAACTTTGGTGATATTCCTCAACACCAAAGTGCTTAAAGTACTTTACGCCAAGGATATTGGCATCTTCAGAAGCGAAGTGTAACTAAATCTGGATTTAGCTTCTGGATATACCAACATCCTTGGCGAAAAGTACTTTAAGCACTTTGTGTTTTGTTTGTTGGTAAATATTTCTAATATTTGTTTTATAGAAGACAACCGGTTGTAAAAGTAAAATAACTTGTTCCTACCTGTTCTACCTCATCTTGGTTAAGACTGTCATTTGGGGTAGTTGACGCCGATGGCCTTTGTGAAGTGGAAAGGTTAATAGCACCATCCCCGTCTATGTCTTGGTCCATAATGCCATCATCCTATAATAAAAAAAAAATAGTGAGTATGTATTAAGGTGGTCCACATAATATGTGTTAGACATGGGACCCACAAAATTTATATGAGTTTATATTGACAAGTTTTGCGCAAGCATAATTTAAATTGAAGTTTGCGAAAAAATGTTAGTTTTGAAGTGTGCCCCCCCAGCCTCCTGCCCCCCCCCAAATTAAGATAATTCAAATTAGAGTATTACAGATTTTATACCATTTCAATTTTTTTTTTAATTTAGTAAAAGAAATAATAAATAAGTTATATTAGGAAAACGAATAATATATGGAACTTCAGTAACTCTCAGTTTCTCAGTATCATCTTTTCTCATCATTTTCTGTAGTGAGATAATTTTTCTTAGTTTATTTAATGTGACTAGGACAATCAAGCATTTTGGACCCTTAAGGTTTTTTACCATCACTTCTTTGGTTTTTGTTGTCAAAAAGTTCAAATCTTATAAGTAATCTTATAATGAAAAGAAAGATGCATCTATTTTTACATACAAAAATAATTTAACAATGTTTTTTTTTTCAACATATTATGTTGAAAAAAAAAATTGAATTATCTTAATTTGGGGGGGCAGGAGGCTGGGGGAGCACACTTCAAAACTAACATTTTTTCGCAAACTTCAATTTAAATTATGCTTGCGCAAAACTTGTCAATATAAACTCATATAAATTTTATGTGGGTCCCATGTCTAATAACTGAGATATGGGTGTGACCAAAATCCACCAGCCGCCACTAATTTAGAAGTTTATGGAGAACGGAAAAAGATATAGATTTGAAATTTGTATAGCAATTATAAGGCAATGTACAATTTTTTTAAAAAATGTTTCATGCTTTATCACTTCCGGTTGAACTTAAAGTGATATCAACTTTGGTTTTTCAAATATAAATATTATTGTTTTTTTAACTTCTAAGTAAAATTCTAGAAATACTAAAATTTGAAATTTTTTTACCTTTAAATATTGTTCTATTACAAATTACATTAAATAAAAAAACTTGTGGTGATTTTAAATATTTAGGACCATCATTTTTTGGACCACCCTAGTTTAGATATTTCGTATTTAGGGTGGATATTGAGAACATTAAAAGAAATAGGTTATTATATTTTTCCAAGCCGTTTATTTTTTACACCTTTCGGGGTTAAAATTGCGTGAAACCATTAGTATGTGATGCGTATTTTTATTGGTACACCCTTATTAACATATTATCTGCTATAAAATTTGCTTACCGATAAAATTGTCGTTTAGGGGAAAAATTATGTCAAATTATAATTCATCAAAGTTTAAAAACACCTTTCTATCATCAAATATATAGGTTTCTGCTACCCTATCGACCGCATATAAGGGGGAACAGAAAATCTAAATTAGGGGATGATAGTATGATTATGACATTTTTTACTGAAAAATAACGTTAGCTTTTCTTAAAAATATTGCCCACGTGACGCGAATCTTTAAGCGTACCTTAGACGTTATTATGTGTATTGATTATTCCGAATTTTTAAATCTTCACGCTTTTTTTCATGTGGAAAATTTGACGAATTGTGACGAATTTAATTTTACTGCCTTAACAGAACCTTCTTATTTATTTTATTTATTTAAAACAACAGATAAATCATATCTTTACAGCCATTTAACAAGGGGTAAAAAACATTACGTTTGAAAATTAGCACACCCTATAAACAGCGAAGAGATGGAAAAAAAGGGTTGACACGTCAGCAGTCAGATTAAAAAGTAAATTTTCGTCCATTAGCGCAAAGTTTTTGTGCGCAGCGTATGAAGGCATTTGAAGGAAATAGATAAGTGAACTGGACGGGTATTCGGGTTTTCGCACACTGATCCAGATTTTTGTGTTTCAAATAAAACACTACAAATAATGAAATAAACTTTATTCTAGATAAAAGCATAAAAAATGCTTTACCGGAATGACAAAAGTATGACTTGATAATTTATTTATTTGTTGCTAATATCTAAAATCCTGTTTTCAATTGTCCAGTTAGAGTTGCGAATTGTCCCAGTGTGGGTCAGGTCGGTCATTTATACCATTTTCGGGCTATAATCTGGATAATAGGACTGACTTATCAACCGGCCACTGGTTTATACTGGTGAAGCCACAGATACAAGCTTAACGTTATTAACTGCCTGGATTCGCCTCCCTTTTTTACCTTTAATATATTTTTACTTATCAAGTATATCGCAGATCACACACATTTTAATGAATAGGATTTGAGTTCAAAGAAAATTTGTTAAAAAAAAGTTTAAAATAATAATAATAATAATTTACTTCAAATATGTACTTTTTATAACCTTGTTCAATGACTATGCCAAAAAATGTCTTGCCTATGGGAAAAAAGTGTTAAGCTGAGCAGAAGTTGCAATTTATGGAAGGGTCTATTTTTGCGCAAGATTTTCGCATTTTGAGTTCCTGAATTCATATCTGACTGTGAAAAATGTTCCACAGTACTTCAAAATTTCCCTGGCCTAGGGAAAAACGTAAAACTTTCTTGACCCATTACTGGTAATATTCATAAGAAATAATTGAACCTACCTAGTTTTTTGTTTTGAGTGCGTTCCACTAACTTCAAATAGAAAATTGAATGTTTAGATTCCTTTAGGCCATATTAGTATCAGAGATACAATTTGCCGTGTGCAGTCTTGGATGCATAGTATGTACCGATTGCGGCAAAGGCCACGTCGTTAGACGGTGTGGATCACGTTCTTACATCTCGCCTCTGTTGGCTTACCAAGGCAGTATATAAGCTCAGGTAGTCCTTTGTTTTGTTGCCCGACACTGATGAGACCCAATATAGGTCGAAACAGCTGTCTGTCGGTATTTGAAGTTGGTGGAAAGCAATAAAAAAAACTTCAATTCATTCTTACAAATGAAAAATATATATTTGAAATATGTAACTACTTTATATAGATAGAAATTACTATTTTAAAAATATTTTAGGCAAAAATGTTTAGTAAAAGTCGCCTTTTATAAAATGAAGAAACGAACTAATAAAGAGAAAAAATTGTCTGCCAGAGAAAACGATCAAGGATAAGCAGGGCAGGATTCCCAGTGGACAGGACACCTATCCTGGCAGGACTTCTGATTTTTATCGCTCTCCGAACACTCGTCCGTTTAGGATAAACGTCCTGAAAGCCATTTACAATCATCACGCCTTACTTTTATATTTTTTACGATTATCAAGGATTTGCTTTTATTGCATATATTTTATTTCCTTTCGAGAATCAATAACTACACTCGACTTATTTGAAAATATTTTCTATTATAAGGTTTTATTTGAAGGGTCAGTCTAAGCAGGATCAATTTTGATATGAAATCTATAAACTACTAATAAGCTACTACAAACTTGGGATTTGAATAGAGTGTGTTTGTAAATGTATAATGAAGTCTTTTTGAGCACACTGAAGGTGTATGATTGAATAGCTATTGTCAAACATATTAAGATATAAATGTCAGTTAATTATTAAATGTACACCCTTGCTTGAATTTTTGTTTCGAGACAAAACAAGAAATTTGGCAACTAGTAAAGGGGGTCATCAATAATTCAGGGCAAACAAATGTATAGAAACCGGCGTGCCTTGCTCAAGGCAAGGAGTAACGAACGACTCCTTTTCTTGCCTCCTTAGTCCTTGTTTCTTGCACTCCATCCTTCGAGAACGAACTAATCAATTCGGGACCAATTAATTATTAAACCATTACACAACAATTATGTATTTATATTCAAAATTAGCCTCCATCAAAATTTATTACCCTAATCTTCTACCACCATAACTTAATCTAATAATGTCTCGAAACCTTTATGCAACTTAACAAGAAATGACAATGACACTCTTTTTGAACTTCTGTTGAACACTGTTGAAATAACCCCATGGGGTTATTTCAACAGTGCTGCAGCATGCTTTTATGGACGGTCATATAAAAAAGAAACAAATAATCGAGATATCAGTGGAAGAAGTAAAAAACTAAAACAAATGACTGCAATCAATTGCAGGACAGAAAGCCGAGGCGTGAGAAGGGACGGTCGTTTTTTAAAAACCCCTCTCGAGAAAAGGGAGAAAACGTTTTATTTAGTCCATTTGAAATTATAAATAAGGACTTAACTGGCCACTCAATAGGTCATCCAGTTTATTTGACGTGAAGTGGGCAAAAGCGTAGCTACAATAATCGGCAGTTCCTGCTGACGCACAGTCATCCATATTTTAATTTTTGAAGGACCTTTGGTCATATTTCGGGTAGAACCATTTGTCTATTGGTGACAAACTTCTGTGGTTTTTGGACGAAAAAGGCTTTTTCGATATCCATAATACTGTTTGGTCATAAATGTTTAGTTCCTCAGCAACTTTTGATCTTTAAACTTTTTATATTGAAGCACTGTGTGCAGCCCATTGTGAATGTTTTGAGAAATGAGGGTCCTTTATTGCATGAACTGTTTGTATCTAGATAAGGCGATTGCGTTTAAAGGAACGCGCTACTTCGAGACGGATCGCTTTATTTACAGTTCCTCGCAATATTAAGGCTCTCCTCAAGATCAGACTTACAATCAGACTAAAAAGGATAATGTCTTTTCTACTTCCGAATTATTCGAAATGAATTGCATCATTTGTTTAGTTAGAGTTAGAGTTTTGTTTTGAGTGCGTTCCACCAACTTTAAATACCGACAGCTGTTTCGACCTATATTGGGTCTCATCAGTGTCGGAATACACCCAAAACAAAACACTACCTGAGCTTATATACTGAGCAAGTAACCCAAAAGAGGCGAGATGTAAGAACATCACGTCTAAAGACGTAGCCTTTGCCGAGATCGGTACATACTATGCAACCAAGAACGCACGGCAAATTGTATTACAGATACCATATGGCGCAAATAAATCTAGAATAAGCCAACCTGGCTTAATTGTAAGGTAAACATTTAATTTTCTTAGTTTCTTAAATAATACCAGTAATGGGTCAAGAAAGTTTCTAAAAGAAAATAAGAATA